GGAGGTTGCCGTCCACGTCGTGGAGGTGCCCGTCGACGTCCTGGAGGTGCCCGTCGACGTCGGGTATACTCTGACCAGAAAACGAAGAGCTGAGTTCTCGCGGTTTATGGCATCTACCGCCTTGGATAGCATTGCAGGTAGCCCTCGACCGCGAGGACCCAGGGCTCTTCGTTTTCTGGTCAGAGTATAGGTCGCCATCGACGTCGTGGAGGTTGCCGTCGACGTCGTGGAGGTGCCCGTCGACGTCGCGGGGGTGTCGATGATCAAGTTGTCGATCGCGGTGTCACGCGTAAGCTGTTGTACCAACCGCGATGTTTCACGGGGAAAGGCTTGAGTCGAAAATACAATGCCAGCTGGAACGATATCTGGAATCTCCTTCCGCGGAGTAACCTCTGCAGCGCTATTGGTGCGGCAGGTCGAAGGGGCAGCAGGGCGTCATCGAGACTCGGATTGGAGAAGGCGGCGCCGCGGCCCGCAGGAGAGCGGAGGGGGAACCACACTCGGAAAACAGACCCGTCATCGCCGCGCCACTGTCGGGAATTCGTTATTTGCTGTCGTTAGCCGGCCATTGATTCGATTCCAATCTAATTGGCGGCGATGAGACGTGAGCGGGCTGGTTCCGGGCGGTGCTCACCTCGCCTTGTCTCTCTCTCTCTCTCTCTCTCTCTCTCTCTCTCTCTCTCTCTCTCTCTCTCTCTCTCTCGCACTCGTGGGGCACCGCGTAGTGTGTGCGAGAGAGAAGGAGAGCAGTTCGGAGCAGCCTGCCGGGTGGGCGTGGGACGAGCGGCGAGAACGAAAGCACAACCAGTGTGCCAACACTACCAACAGCGCGCAGTGCCTCGCTGAAACTTTCCCATCCGCGATAGATCGGAGAAATAAATCAGTCGAATTAGAAACCAACCGAGTACAGTTTTGCTGTTTCCTTGGCGTGCTCCTCGATTTCCTCACAGTGCCGTGTCGTGCATGAAGGGTCTAGGACAGCCGACCACACTCTCACTGACCACGTCCCCCACTCACCACTGACAAGTGACCACTTCGCACTCTGACCCCACATACATACTGGCCACACTCTGACCCCTAAACACTGACCACAATAAAAAAAATCGAAAAAGCAAATATTTATTCAAATTCAGGGTTCAAGTTCAGGGTTGCGCTCCATCACAGGTTTCCGGCGATGTTGTGGCCGATGGCCTTCAGGAACTCCAGCATTTTCTCCGTCCTCCTTGTACTGGTCGTAGCGCTCCATGACACGTCTGATGCGGGCGTCCATCAGCACGTACTGGTTGCGCTTCTTCTTTTCAGGCGACCGTCCGCTGCCCAGCCGCTCAATGTCCCGCTCCACCTCCATGACCTCTGACTGCAGCTGGTCAAGGGCAAAGTAGAGGGTGGGGTGCGCCTTGCCCATGATGGTGTTCAGCCTGCGATGCCACGCCTCGACGCTGTTTGTTGTCCTAAATTGTTAAAAAAGTGGTGGCAATCTAATATGGGTTCACTGTGCAGTCGTGGTCAATATGTTTCAGGGGTCATTTTGTACCTGGGTCAGTTTAATTGTGGTCACTTGCCCGGATACCGTGCATGAAGTGGTCGCCGAAGTGTCGTCGCGTTGTCGGTCTCTGTCCCCGTCAGGGGACGTCCCAAAGGGTGCGAGAGAGAAGGAGCGACGAGACGATGGCTGGACCAGAGCCTTCATCACGGCCAGTCCGACGCCGAGCAAAGCAAAGGCAACGCGAAGCAACGCGAAGCGCGCTTTCTAATGGTCTTGCAAAGTTGAGGGTGAGGGGAGGGGGGTTGGCGGGGAGGTTGGAGGCGGGAGAGGGTTGGCGGGGAGGTTCGCGGGGAGGTCGGCGGGGCACAGCGGCGCGCAGCAGCGCCGGCCGTCTGGTACTCTGGTAGCAAGGCGGTAGCGGCACAGCGGTACCTCCGGCCGTGGCGGCGGTGTCCGGGCGGCGCGTGTGGTCCGCCGCGGTCAGCCGGCCCAGCTCATAAAGCACAAAGTGATGGCCCTAGCACCGCCCCAAACAGCCGCCCCGCCGCGCCCCGCCCCAAACGGACAGAGACAGAGCGCATTCCCCGAAGCGTGAATTGCAAGTCGCTGTGTGGCGTCGCCGTTGCGCCGTCGTGGCGGTGTACAGTGTACTGGCAAGGCTGCGCCGCCGCGGCTAGCAAGGATAGTTTCTCCGGGATTGTTTTTCTTTTTTCTGCAGTGTAGGCCTAAGTGTGATTTTTGCCGCGTTTTTTTCTTTCTAAATCCGGTAGTGACTGTCGGACTTGATGCAGTGCTGCGGCGCCGTGCGGCACGCTTTCGCGGCCCGCTGGACAAGTCCCCGTGCCTCGCGAATGGCCGCCTCGGCCGGCCGAACGGTGCTGCAGGCTGGCTCCGAAAAGTCCCGCGTCTGTTTTTCTTTCTAACCGAAAGGGTGACTGTCGGAGAGCAGTGCGCGGCGGTGGGGGGCACCGCTTTCCCCGGCAGTCCCTGGACAAAGGCCCCGTGGCCCCTTCCGCGAAAATGGCCGCCTGGCCCGGGCCCGGGGAACGGTGCTGCAGCCCGCGGCCCCCTCCGACCCTCCCCGCGTCTGCCCCGCACCGCCCCGCGCCGCCCCCGCGCCCCGTGCCGCCCCGCGCCGCCCCGCGCCGCCCGCGCCGCCCCGTGCGCGCGGCCCCCCCGCGCCGCCCCGCGCCGCCCCGCGCCGCCCCGCGCCGCCGCCCGCCCCGCGCCGCCCCGCGCCGCCCCGCGCCGCCCCGCGCCGCCCCGCGCCGCCCCGCGCCGCCCCGCGCCGCCCCGCGCCGCCCCGCGCCGCCCCCCGCGCCGCCCCGCGCCGCCCCGCGCCGCCCCGCGCCGCCCCGCGCACCGATTCCGAGTGGGAGGTCTCTCTCTCGCACTCGTGGGGCGGCCCGTGGGGGTGCGAGAGAGACCGCACCGTTCGGAATCACAGTGCCGCGTCGCCCCACCAGTCGCCCCGCCACCCCCAGCCCCAGCCCGCGGCCACGCGGAGACCTCGACGCGCTGCGGCACGAGAGCTCCACGTCGTCGGCTGGGGAGTGGAGGAGGGGAGGGTAGGCCTGCCGGGTTAGCCAAGCAGAAACCACCCCACTGCCTCATCCCCTGCGTCGCGTCGCGGGAGGGGACGCCGAAGCGCGAAGATGGAGTCGCGAGGCGCGGGGTCCGCGGCGGGGGGTGCGGCCGGCTGCGGCGGTACAGTCCCTCGCAAAAGCCAAGCGTCCGTGCTATACTCTGACCAGAAAACGAAGGGCCCTGAGTTCTCGCGGTTTATGGCATCTGCCGCCTTGGCTAGCATTGCAGGTAGCCCTCGACCGCGAGAACCCAGGGCTCTTCGTTTTCTGGTCAGAGTATAGTATTCTCCTTTGCGACCCGCGGATTGATTCCACGCAGTGTCTCGTCGCTCTGTCTCTCTCGCGCCCTCACGGGCCGCGCCACGAGTGCGAGGGAGACGGAGCGCGGTGCCGCTGCGCGACACGGATACAGCGCGTCGATCCGCGGCGCTGCAGCAGGCCGCGCAGGCCGTGGCGGAATAAGCCATGGATAACTACAAAATGCGGGGAATCTCTCCTCTCTCTCCACTTTCGTGTCTCATTCCCGGCAGAACAAATGGGCCGAGCGGACTGCCGGAAGATTAATGAAGGGCTGGAGTGGGAGGTCCTCGTCGTGGCCGCGCTGCAGTGTGCCGGCCGCGCTGGTCGTCTTCCATTAGTGCCCCTCGAGCGATGACATCTCGACGCCGCATCGTCGCGCCGCCGTCGCCCGTTGACAGCCCAGTCGTGCCGCCCGACCTGACACCTTATTTCCGGATTCGGATTCAGATTCGCGCCTTTGGTTCCGCTCAGCCCCGCCGCACTTTATTTCCCAGATTCAGATTCGCATTTTTTCGATGTGTTGGTTGGTAGGCTACCGCCCGGACCTGACACTCCGGATTCAGATTCTGGTTGGAATATTTAGTAGATTTTGGCCGGTCATCTTACTTCTGGATTCTGATTCAGATTCGATTTTTAATTTGCTGTGTCCGCCTGGCCCGGACACGTCTTATTTCCGGATTCAGATTCTCATTTTGGATTGGTTGGTTCCGGCGCGACCCGTCCGTCAACGCCCCGCGCCCCTCCCCGTCGCCACGCCGCCGCCGGCGTCCTGACCCGTTGTCCGACTGCAATGGGCTCAAGTGCTCCGTCGCTCTGTCTCCCTCGCACCCATGGGACTGCATGGGACGCGTCGCGAGTGCGAGAGAGACAGAGCGACCGACTCCGCGGCGGTGCTTCTCTTCTGCGAAGCGAGGCGGCGAGGCTCGGCCTTTGGGCACGGCGCGCCGCGGCGCCGCACAAGTTGAGATTGATTAGCTGGAGCCTCACGCCCCGGCCGCTCGGCCGCCTTATCCGGTGTCATGGCGCTTCTCGGGAACGGGGCGCAATGCGATTGCGTGGCCGTGGGCGTAGCGTTCTCCATCCTCAGCCCGGGGATCCGAGTTCAAATACCCCGAATTCGGGCTTCGTAGCGTAGGGGTGGGGTGGGGTCAGTTGACGAGACAGGGGTTGAAAATGGGACACACTATTTTCTGGGTGAGTCTGCGCAAGTAGTATGGACCACCAGTGGGTGGACCACCCCTGAAATTCTTCTGAATGATCGGCTCGAGCCAAGGTACTCCAGGTTTCGATGCCACCGATCATATAGAAGAGTTTTAGGGGCGGTCCACGTTACCCACTGGTGGTTCATATTACCCGCTTTCACGGTATTTATCGTTTTAAAACGTCATCTATGTATTCATATTAATACAGCACGACATTTATACTGTTCAACTCTGTCCGTAGTCGGCCAGAAACAGTGAGTTCCATTTTCAACCCCTTGTCCCATTACCTCAGTTGACTGGCGCTCGTGCATGAAAGTGTATACACGCACGGTATAGCCCGCAATTTTCATGTTCACTCCGTTTAAATCTTTCAAAAATTTGGTACTTTACGGTGCTGGACTGTTTGTTGTTCGTTCGCTCGGCAAGATGGCGCGCGAGTCGCTGCAGTGCTTCCCGCGCTGTGCCAGTTAGGGGGAGGCTTCGCGGCCGCGGCGCACAGCGCGTTTGTCGCGGGGAGGGGAGGGAGGGGGAGGGGGGAGGCAGCGTGAACCGAAAGGGGGACGCCGCCGTGCCGCGTCGCGGTGTCGCGGTGCCGCGCTCCGTGTGCCGCTATACGCGCCATCACGTTGCTTTGCGTTGCTGCGCGTTGCTGCGCGTTGCTGCGCGTTGCTGGCCGCGCCGCTCCACGGCCGCCATATTGCAAGCGCGGCACGCGCACCGCGGCCCGGGGGCCACGGCCAGCGGCACACTGGTCCCGAGAGTCGTTTTCGTCGCTCTGTCTCTCTCGCACCTACAGTCCCCGCACCATGAGTGCGAGAGAGACAGACCGACTCTGGGAATCAGTCGGCGCTGCTACGGCCAGCGGCCCACGCCCCAGGGGCCCCGCAGGGGGCGAACGGGCGAACCAAGCCCGGGAGGCAATTTTTAGCGGCGGAGAGAAAAATAAAATGAAGTCGGCACTTTGTTTTTTGTTTTTGTGTTCGGCCGCCGCCCCCCAGTCGAGTTGTGCGTGCGTCACGTGACGCTGCGCGTGTGTTTTGGCCACAGCCGCGCTGCTACAAACTAGTTCCCGGCTGTAAAGTGACTGCACACTCCCCGCACTCCGCACCGCTTTTGCTCGCTTTTCCGTCTCGTGCAACAACGGGCCGCGGGGACCACGGACCACACACGCGGCCCGCCTTCTCGCTGGTCCCCGCACAGTGGGCCAGAAGACCGGTGGAGGCGGCCAAAACTCTAGACGCGTTTTGAGCTCCAGAGTCGCTAATGGGCCTCGAATCGAACATGTGACCCCACCAATGGATTGCTCGCCGAAAGAGGAATTCATTGGTGGGGTCACACGTTCGATTCAAGTCCCATATAGTGACTCTGGAGCTCAAAACGCGTCTAGAGTTTTGGCCGCCTCCACCGGTCTGCTGGCCCACTGTGCCCCGTCCCCGACTGCGCGTCACCTCACTGTGAAAGAAAGTTTCGGTCGTCAATCGATGTCATAATTTGAATGCTGACCTTGTTTTCAAGAACACTGAAAATTGGAGGGTGTGTAGTGGATTTGGAGGAAATCGCGCACCGTGCTCTAACTATTTTTGTTTCTTGTTGCAGGCCCCAGCAGCGGCGAGGAGTCCGAGACGGAGTCCGAGCCCGGCATCCCCCTCAAGAGGAAGCAGCGGCGCTCCAGGACCACCTTCAGCGGGGAGCAGCTGGAGGAGCTGGAGCGCGCCTTCCAGCGCACGCAGTACCCCGACGTCTACACCAGGGAGGAGCTCGCGCAGAAGTGAGTCTAAACTGATACTGTGACCAGAAATCGAAGAGCCCTTTGGGTTCTCGCGGTCGAGGGCTACCTACAATGCTAGCCAAGGCGGCAAATACCATAAACCGCGAGAACTCAAGGCTCTTTGTTTTCTGGTCAGAGCATAGAGCTGCAATCAAAGAAACACTTATTTTTTAAAAAAAAAAAAAATGAGAACATCAAAGGCCAAAATTTAAAACAATCAGTAATACAAAAAAAAAGAGTCATCGAAATTTCTTGAAGTTTATCGAAATTCGTCAAAATCCATTATTGAAATTGGAAATCTGATACCCGCAAGCTTAAACCCTTATGAATCATACTCAGCGCATCTAAGGTCCAAACTGTTATTTCGTTTGCTATGTGAAGAATCAGTTCGTAAATTACGAAGTAAGCTCATGATCGTTGTCAAGCTTATGCTCAAAACTTTGTTTGTACTTAGCTGGGGATTGTTGTCAAGTGCCCGGTCGTGACCAACCAGCTTGTACCGGAATTTCGATTGCAGCTATCGAATCCGAGAATGTTTCTGGAACAAATAATGCTTATTTTATCTTCCGGGCAATATTTCATCACCACAATTTCGAAAAAAAAAAAAAAATCAAAAATACGTATGTCATATTTCAGCAAGTGCTATATGTCCAAGTCATGTTCGTAGCGTTCACGAACTATTCGCGAACCCCATTGTGGGATGACCTGAAGCCGCTCTGTCTCCCTCGCACGCAGTTCGGCACTAACTCTCTGTCCTCGTCGTTGCCAGGACCAAGCTGACGGAGGCCCGCGTGCAAGTGTGGTTTAGCAACCGGCGGGCGCGGCTGCGCAAGCAGTTTCAATCCAGAATTTTTCAACAATTTAATGCTATGTCATTTTCCGGGCAATTTCCTGCGCCGAAAGTTCGAAAAAAAACACTCCTTTCAATTCCAGCGTGAGCCCAAAGTGTGCGCCCCGAACAATTGGAAATCCCCAGATGACCTAAACCGCCGTTTCCCCCAGGGGCATGATTTGAACCTCGTGGGCCGGGAAAGCTGACGGGGGCCGCGTGAAATTGGGTTTGGGCGGGGCGGTCGCAGCATCTAAATGCAGCCCAATTTCCCCCATGCCCCAACCCCTTCCGCGCCGCAGAAACGCCCGTCCAGTAATTCCCGGGGGGTACAGTGCAGGCCCAAAATGATCCGCCAAAACTTCGGACGGCCTTTTGGGGCATGGCCAGGGGCCTGGCGGCCGGCCTTTGCATTTTGGGAGGGATTCGGAAATTTAGGGCACCTTTTCATGTGAAGCTAAGCACGAATAAACGGCCCGCCGAACAACGGGCCCCAAAACCGTCCGCGCCGAATTCGTGACAGTGCCGTGGCGGCCTGGCCAGGGCCGGCAGTCGTGGGGTGGAGGCGAGGGGGCGGCCGGTTGGGCCACTCACGGGGCCGCCGCCGGCAATTGCCAATGGCGAGAGAGTGGGGGAGAGTGGCGGGGGACCCGGGCCGAAGGGGGGAGGGGAAAGGGAGGGGGCTGGGCCTGGGCCCTTTGGGCTGTGGGGCCGCCGGGAACCAAGGGACCAGGGAACCGAGGACCAAGGGAGTGAAGGGGACCTGCGGCCAAGGGACAGGGAACAGGGACCAAAGACCAGGGACCAAAGACCAGGGACTAAAGACCAAACCGGGGAACAGGGACCAAAGACCAGGGAATTAAGACCAAACCAGCGGGAATAGGGACCAAAGATCAAAGACCAGGGAGACAGAGGCCAAAGCCCCAAAAGACCGAAGACCAGGGAACAGGAACCATAGTGGTGATCAGATACCAAGAACCAGGGATGACCGGGGAAGACCAAGGGCCAGGGACCGAAGAGGGAAGACCAGGTACCAGGACCATAGTGCTGCCAAGTAGATGATAGTTCCCTCCCTCGATGCAACAGTGTTGAAAGGGTTGTCAATCTCAGTCTGACTACTATAGCCAACATCTCGGCTCCGCTGTCGAGAAGTTGCCGAGTAGGTAGACTGAGGTTGGCAACCGTTTCGACACTGCTACATGTGAGATTTTTCGCCTATGTAGGCAACAGCACTGCATAGGACGAAGGTTTAGGGACCAAGGACCAGGGAAAACCACAGACCAGGGGCCAAGGGCCAGATTTTAAGGACCAGCCAAGACCACGAACCAGAGCAAAGGCCAGGGACAAACCGACCAAGCAGGGGCCGAGGAAAAGGGACCAAGGAAGACCGCGGACCACTCTCAGACCGTCAGGGACCAAGATGACTCACGTGACCCACGGAGGGCCAGGGCCCCGCGGGGAGTTGAACCCGGGGCTCTGAACTGTCGGCGCGGGCCTCTAAATGCCGTCATCGCCGCCCTGGCCGCGGGGCCCAGGGGCTCCCTATCGCCCGCCGCCCTGACACCCCGAGGACGTCGATAGCATCACGACGACGCCTCTCTTTCTCTCTCTCTCTCTCTCTCTCTCTCTCTCTCTCTCTCTCTCTCTCTCTCTCTCTCTCTCTCTCTCTCTCTCTCTCTCTCTCTCTCGGCCCGTTGAACGATGAACGGTGCCTCGCATTAGCATATTCCTGCGCTACCCTGCCAGGCCTCTCTAGCCGCGCCGGCAGGCTGACTCCGAACAGCACAGTCAGGCCTTTCTCTCTCGCGCCACTGCGAAACGCCCTATGAGCGCGAGTGAGACAGAGCGACCAAGCGAGGCGCGGCGCTAGCAGTGTGGTCGTAGGGCCGCGGCGTAAGGATGAAATACCGCCGTCGGGACACTTCGACAGGAGAGTCATTCTTTGAAAAATACAAACAACAACAGCAAAACCATTAGTCCTTCTCCGTGACAAGCCGCCGTTGCTGTTGTTGGTTGTTGTCGTTGGCGCAAAGTGAAAATGGCGCGCCGGAGCTGAAACACTGCGACGTTAAAGCCCGAGTTGAACACGTATTATCCCTGACATGTCTGCAGCACTCGTCATGCCGAGTGCCGCGGCTACACTGAAAACGCGACAGCCAGGCAGACGGACGGACGGACGGACGGATGGACAGACAGACAGACAGACAGACAGACGGACAGACAGACAGACTGACTGACTGACTGACTGACTGACTGACAGACAGCTGGACAGACAGACAGACAGACAGACAGACAGACAGACAGACAGACAGACGGACAGACAGACAGACAGACAGACAGACAGACAGACAGACAGACTGACAGACAGCTGGACAGACAGACAGACAGACAGACAGACAGACAGACAGACAGACGGACAGACAGACAGACGGACAGACAGCCGGACAGCCAGGCGGGCAAGCTCACGCCGGCCACCTCGATGCTCATGAAAAGGGGGCGTTCCTTCAATAACGCTTATATTAAAGACCGCGTCCTGCCGCGATAAACATCACCTACATGAGGGAGCGGGGGAAGGGAAGGGGGGGGAGTGCGTGCGAAGGAGGAGACAGCAGCGAGAGGTGATCGTCGGTCAATCAAAGTGCAAGCGAGATGAGCCGTCGCGAGCGAGAGAGAGAAAGGGAGAGGCGGGGAGAGGAGGCGGAGGAGAGAGAGATAGGAGAATAGTGCTCCAGGGAGGAATTACACCCGATGAAGAGATAAAGCTGCCGGGGCTGGCCGCAGGACTGACAGTGACAGCCTCTCTCTGTCTCTGTCGCTCTCATTAGTGGCAGGGCGTGCCGCGCGGCGTAAGTCACGTGGCCGCGGCGCACGCGCGTGCGTTTGGACAGGCCGTGTCGTACATTGACGGTGTTTTGAGGCGCTCAGCGGGGCATAGCGGGGCCTACACTCTCGAAACAGCCGCCGCCCGTTCCGAAAAACGTTTATTTAATCTTACTGTGTTTCGGCCGGCAACGGGGAAAGAGTGGGCAGCTGTGGGCAGCGCTCTGGTATTCCCGGCAACGGGCTGTGGTTTTTCGCGGCGCCCGTTCCGAAAAACGGAGCAGTTTCACTCCCTTCGTGTTGTTTTCGCGGACCCTGGGGCCGCGGGGCAGCGTGGTTTCCTCCGGCGCCGGTTTCGCCGCGCCGCGCGATTGGGGGTTCCGCTGTCTTGTCGCCCGGGGGCTGATGCAGAGGGGCGAGAGAGGCGGCGCAAAACCGCCCCCCTTCCCGTCGCTCGCCTGACGGCACTTGACGCCCGGGCTGGCCGGCGCGGCGAGCGCGGCGTCGTGTACCTTCCGAGCGCGGGGTTTGCCCCGGCCGGCCCCAGCCGCGCGTCGTTGGAAGAAGGGCGGCCTATCTCGGTAGCATCGCGAGGCTGCCTGAGGCTGCGAGGGCAGCAGAGGCGACAACCGCCGGCTGCCATCGCTCCCTGCACGCCCGACTTGGCGATACCGGGGCTCGCGCGCGGGCCTCCGCCTTCTGTCTTTCCAGGATCGGGTGTTTCCCAGCCGGCCCGGAAACACAGCGTCCTGACATTGTCGGTGATGGACGCTGATGGCGGCCATCGGTTTAGGAGCGATCAGAAGGCTGCCGCTGAGGCTAGCTCCGCGCTGAAAAGGGGGCTTTCAGCCCTTTAGCGGCCTGCCCTGCCGGTGCCCTGCCCGCCCCGCAGCCTCCAGCTAGCCGGGGATCTCGCCCCGCGGGCCTCCGCCATTTCTGTCATTTCCAGGATCGGGCTGCTTTCCAGCAGCAGCGGTCCTGGAGAAGGCAGCCGTCGTCCGTAACATTGGTCGGTTTGGCTAACGATGGCGTGGGTGGCGGTCCAGTGGTTCAGAGCGGTTCAGAGCGCAGTGGCGTCGCCTCCAGAGCCAGTCTGAGGGAGGGACGAAGTAGCTCTCTGGCCGACTTACAGGGGTGAAGAGTGGCTTTCTGCCTAACTTTCAGGTCGGCTATCTAGGCCAATGAGGGGTTTACTGTCCTTCAGCCCCCTCTGGCTCTGTGGTCGCATGAACGCATCCCTTCGCTTACTCCTACACTGACATGAGAATTTCGACCAATGGAAAGACAGCACCGCCATGGCGGTTGGCGGACCCACACGGCCCGCCGACGCAGGCCGTGGCTGCGATACATACAGTACGGTACGCCGTATTGACGCGGGCAGCCCCAGTCCCCCGGCCCCGGAGGCCTGCCGCCCCGGCCGCCCCGCCGCGCCGCCAGACCAGTCCGGACTGACCATCTCGGGAGATTACTACTTGTCCCGAACACAAAGCTGACACCCGACACCTTCGCCTTTTACATTCGGTCCACATTCATATTTGGATTCCGATTCCCACGAGAACGGCAATGTCGGCGGTGTCTGTGTTGTTCGTTCGGCGGCGTGCTCGAAAAACAACAACAACAATTTTGACTAGACTTATCGCTCGCTATGCCTCATATGTGGGCAACGTGGGAACGCGGAGCGGGAAGTGGCGATATGCGGGAGGAGCGCTAGGCTCGCTTCGCTCGCTCAGTTTTGCTTCGTTCCAGCGGCCGGCTCCAGAACCCTTCCCGCTTTCGGATCGATACTCCGATTCCAGTGCCCCATCGCGCGGCCGCATCGCTGACGCTGCGCCACGCTACGCGCCGCCACCTCGTTCATGGCGGGGCGCTGAATGGGCCGCGCCTTGCCGGCCGAACACGTGCGGGCGTAGCGGTGCGGCCGTGTAGCGCCCGGGGCGGACAAGACCGACGAGACGCTGCCCTGCAGACTGATGCCGACAGTCGCCCTGTCTCTCTCGCACCCACACGGCACGCCCCGTGAGTGCGAGAGAGACAGAGCGACGAAAACGACCCGCGGAATCAGTGTGCTGGCGGCAAGTTCGGAGGATGCAGGCGCACGCGCCGCGTCCCGCACGTGTCGCGCCGACCGGTTCCCGGATGACTCATTTCCCGGCGCGGTTCCCCGAGACTCTAACCGCTTCTTTTTCCCTCGCAGGCCACACCGCGTCCTGGGTGCAGCAGACGGCCGCCGCCGCCGCCGGGTACTCGTCGGCGCTCACCAACTACCAGACGTCCACCAGCCCGCCGTCGTACGGACACTCGTCGCCGGGCGGCCACCACACCCCCGGCATGGCGGACCACCCCTCCGGCATCTCGCCCACCTCCACGGCGGCCACCGTCACGTCCACGGCGTCGGCGGCGGCCGTGGCGGCGGCGTCCGGGCTGGCCGGCGTGGCCGGCTACTCGGGCTACCACCCCCAGGCGCCGCCGCCCGTCCCGGCCCACTGCGGCGTCGGCCCCGCCGGCCTCGGCGTCCCCGGCGGGCTCGGCGTCGGCCCCGGCCTCGGGCCCGGCCTCGGCGCGCACCACCAGCCGTCGGCGTGGACGCGGCCGCACTCGCAGAGCGGCGCGGCCAAGCCGGGCGACGTCAACAGCTGGCCCGACAACTACAGGTAAGCACTCATTACCGATTTACATCCCCCTTTCCAATTTTTTCCGCCCGGCGACCGACGTGTGACATAACTAGGATCGTAACGGGTCACGACTAAACGGTCCGGGTCGAGGTGGGGCGGGGCGGGGCGGGGTGCGTCGAATACCGACGCCCGCTAACGCCGTGACGGGCCGAGGGAGGCGGCCAGGACGCGGCCAGGACCGCCGGCCGCCTCCGCGAGCGGACTTAAGGGGGCAGTCTCGTCCCTGTACCCTTTTTTAGGGGGTTTTCCCCCCCTTTGATGACGAGATTTTTAAATTACCTCTTGGCAACGGCAACCCCTGAAGAACGGATTTTCACTTTCAGAAATTTTTGTTTCTCAGTTGAACGTCCCCAGCCGCCTGTAGACAGCCGCGGACAGCCAAATCACCCCGGCATGGGCCCCCCTGGCATTTTCCCCCTCGTGGGCCACTCACGTCCACGGCTCGCGGCGGCCGTGGCGGCGGCGTCCGGGCTGGCCGGGGCGCTACTCGGGCGTAACCCCCAGGCCGCCGCCCGCCGGCCACTGCGGCGTTGGCCCCCCGGCCGGCGTCCGGCGGTCGGCGTGGTCCGCTCAGGGCTCCTTGTCGCCACCACCAGCCGCGGCTGGATGCGCCGCACTCAGAGGCCAACCGGGCGACGAACACTGGCCGCACTACAGGTAAGTTTACCGTTTATCCCTTAATTTTTTCCGCCCCTGTCCCAAACTGTGACAAAAGAATATATCGGGTTACGACTAAACGGTCGTAGGAATTCGGGTCTTCTTGGTTTCCGTTTGTCTCGAAAGCCTTAACCTGACGGCCAGGGAGGCGGCCAGGACGCGGCCAGACCGGGTGCCGCCCCGCGCTTAAATTAAATCCACTTGACGGCGCCATTGTCGCCTTGCTTTGGAGTCGCTGCAGACCGAGAGACCTTTTCGTCGCTCTGTCTCTCTCGCACTCATGGGGCGTCCCGTACAGGTGCGAGAGAGACAGAGCGACGAAAGCGACTCTCGGCATCGGTCCACTGCGGACAATGGCGCCGTCGATCAAGTGGATCAAGTGTCGATGAAGACCGGGGCGGAGCGAGCGCGGGAGCCACCCCGATTCAATTGTCCGGCCGGCGGAGCGGAGCAGCGCCAGTTTTACGCCTGAATTATGGGAACGGCGCCTCTGCCGCGGAGACAATGCATTGTATGCTAAGCACACGGCGACGCGGCGCGACGCGGTCCAGCGGGCTCAAACGGCAGTGTCGTCGCTCCGTCTCTCTCGCACTCGTGGCGCGTCCCGCGGCGCGGAGAGGCGCGAGAGTGACAGCGCGACGGCACCGCTCTGCACCGGGAATCCCGGGCGGCGGCGGACCGGCGCGAGAAAGCTCGCCGCCGTGGCGGGGCGTGGCGGCGGGGGCGTACCTCTGGGGCGTGACGAAGGCGGGGCGGGGCGGGGCGGGGCGGGGCCGAGGAGCGGAGGGGCGGGGCGAAGCGCGGCGTGACCCACAGCCACGCACACCGCGCCGAGTTGGTTAGCATATTTGAAAAATGTTCGATCCATCGATGATTAGAGACTGCTGCTATGATCACGGCCGCGCCGGAACTCTACAATCCGCGTGCGTGTGTGCGTGAAACGAGGGGGTTGCCCGCCCGACGCCGTGCCCGTCGGCGAGCCTGTTGGCGCGCCCTGAGTTGTGGCGTCGCGGCGCGTCGCGGTGTCGCGAGGCCCTCGGCGAGGCTGGCTGAATGAAGCGGGATGAAAATAATGAATGAAATCCGGCGACAGGACCCACAGGACCGGCCGGCATAAATCGCCCGGCAGCATCATCGCCCTCGTCCTCATCCTCCTCCGCCTGATAAATAAGCGGCCCGGTCGGCCTTTGTCGGCGCGGCCCGCGGCAGGCTGATTCCGAGACTCGTTCTCGTCGCTCTGTCTCTCTCGCACCTATACGGGACGCCCCGTGAGTGCGAGAGAGACAGAGCGGCGGGAACGACTTGCGGCTCGCCTCGGCCCGACCGGTCATTCCGCGCCGCGCCGCCACCAAGCTGCCCGCCGCCCAGGCCGTTCCGCGCCGCCGACTACTTGTTGACGCTATTGATGATGTCGTCGGTGCCCGCTGCGTGCCGCCAGTGTACCGCCGCGCCGCCGCGCCGCGGGGCCGCGGTGATTGTGCTCGCCGCGTGGTTACGCGGGGCGCCGGCGTCGCCACCCGCGGCGCGGCGCGGCACGGCACGGACGGCACGGCACGGCACGGCACGGCTGGCACGGCAAGGCCCGCCACCCGCAGAGACACGCTCGGCGCCCTTCACCCGCAATCACAGAGGCGAAGCGGAACGGGCCGACGTGTGCGGGATGCCATGCCGACTGATTCCCAACAGCGCCCCGTCTCTCTCGCACTCGCGGCGCCCGGCCGTGCTAGAGGGGTGCGAGAGAGACAGAGCGCGCTGTTCGAAATCGGCGCAGCAGGGGGATGCAGCAGCAGCGGCATGATCATCATGGCCACCTCCAAAGTGGATGAAGTCGACCTTTCCTTTCCCTTCTTCTTTCCGCGGCGGCACGGCACGGCACGGCACGGCACGGCACGGCAGGGAATGCGCGGCTAGACTCCGCCCCGTCACGGCGGCGCGGCGCGGCACGGCTCGGCGAGGAGGCGGATATGCAGCGGCCAGTCGCGGCGGTAATTTGCTATTCACCTTGGTGGCGCTGCAGGCTGCGGGATTGCTGCAGGCCCGCCGTGGAAGGCGGGGCGGGGCGGGGCGGGGCGGGGCGGGGCGGGGCGGGGCCACGCCGCCGGGCTCGCGGATGCGGACCGCTCTCGTTGCTTCATTACCCCGCGATGGGAGGTTCCCTTCCCGGGAAGCGCGGCGGCGCTCTGCTCTGTCTCTCTCGCACCCCCTCGCGACGCCCCGCGAGTGCGAGAGAGACAGAGCGACGAAGGCGGGGATGGCTGCGGCGCTCTTTCCGAGAGAGCGATGACGGCTCGCTTCGTTTCCCAGTGCGGTGCCGCGTGCGGGGCGGGTAGAGACCCGGGCGGGCCGGGCTGAGCCCCTGCAGCGTAGGCCGTCCCGTCGAGCGCGGCTGCCGCCCGGTCACAAAGAAAGCCTACCCGCCAGGCGCTCGGCCCGGAGTCCGACGTCCGGCGGCCCGGCGGTTACGGAGGAACCCGGAAACAAAAGCAAGCGCACTCCGAGCCGCATTTGAACCGCAATCCGGCGCTCCGTTTCCGGGCACGCGCGGCGCGGTGCCGCGCGCTATTGCGGTTCGGCCTATCCCTTACGTAAAACGGCACGCCGATTCGCCGCGGCCCTGTCGCCGATCGTCTGGCGCAGCGAGAGCCGAGGCGGCGGGGTTTATGTTTCGTTATTTCGTAAGGGTTCTGATGTGATCCGGGATAGCACACTGCTAAAACTCGCTCGACTGTTCGCCACCACAACTTCTCTAACGCTGTTGTTTCTCTGCTTGCAGCTTGTTCCCCAGTGGTGCGTCGCCCTACTCCGCCAACCTCACGCCCCACTCGCCGTCCGAGGCCAAGTCCGGCTACCCGTACTTCGGCCAGCTCAGCTCCATGGAGGCCGGCATGGTGTGCGGGCGCGTCCACTGACAACACCATCTGGACGGCCTCGGGGACGTCGTCGGGGTCGTCGTCGGCGACCCGGACGGGGGCGCCCTCGTGGCTGGCAGTGCGACACAGCTGTGATCCAGGACGTCCAAGTCACCACCGTGGTGCACTCCCATGCAGAGCCGTGCACGAAGGGGTGCATAGCCCAGGAGCCCCGCGGCCTAGGGCCTGACAGGCGACTGCACCATCACCCATGCCAACAACAAGTGGCAGTAAACCACCGCTGGTGGTCATGGTTTCACAATGACTCCGTGAGTCGCTGTTTTGGGGCGACTCCCCATTCCCAGTGGTGATCTGAGACCACCTCTTTATTGTGATGTGATAATATTTTTGGTCGTGTGTTTGAACAAATTCAAAGAGAAATTAACTATTTTCGTTATTCAAGTGTAATGGTTTTGCCTTCCACGTATGATACAACTAACGCCAATGAAAGGAATGCAGAATATATATTTTTTTTGGAGAGAGTTTATATTTTTTAATCATATTTAAAGAGACTAGATCACCGAGTTGTGATATGTGCACATTAATCTGTCTAAATGAAACACGACAGCGAGTCCAGCGATTGGATTTGTGGTTGGCGAGGGTTCTATTACTACGACGTTTGTACACCAGTTGAAGTTCCTAAGTATGTGAGTTCTACATTTGATAATCAGTTATTCTTAACGTCTGTGAAAACTTTCTGACTTACGGTTAATTAATATAATATAAATGATTTTAATATTTGTACATTGTTTTACTTGGGACCTTTCTATAGTGATATATTTTTATATTAGTATTTATTAAAAAACTTTGTCATGGATCTGGAGTGTTCCTGACTATTTTTCTTTAAGTCATATTTCGAGTTTTGGATGAATTTGTTTATATTTGTGACATGAGACATAAAGACCGGTATATAGTATATTGTATTTTGTAAATTAATGTACATGTTCTATAGTTTTGTGAGTTTTAACTTGAAATGAATAAATATTTTGATTCGTATACGAAACCTTGTCGGTGTTTAATTTCTGCATAATCATCTTAAGCGGTCTTAAGTAGCTGGCACCATTGACTTTTAACTGAAAGCCGATCTCTATGAAGCAACTGTCGCCATTACATGAAAATGGAAGCAAAAAGACTTGAACCAAAGGTCAGCGAGCAATGTGCAGTGCGAGCAATGGACTTGCTCAGCTCGGTCCTGGGTGCAATAGTGCAACACCCCCAGACCAACCAGGGGGATGCACTCTTCTTCTTTTTTACTACTTTACAATTAAAGAATATTACCTTCAGCCGAAGCGGGAAAACCAATGTTCAAAATCAAATAATCAAATAATTGTCACAGAACATTGGGCACCTTTTTGTTACCACCTGGACTATCCACTAGAAAAAAAAATCATGCTAGAAAACGCAAAAGCAAACAACAGAGCGCATGCTTCCGTATGCAAATTTTTGCCGGCGTGCCTTATCTTGGCATTGTGAAGGTGGGGCACACTGGTCGATAAGGGCAGGACACGCTTGACCAGAGTTTGGGCATGCCCCAGAGACCACGCGGCTTCACCTGGAAAGTTTTCACGTCCCTGGTCGTTTACAGTAAAACAAAAACCGACAAAAACATTAAACAAAAAAACGTTAACGCTAACGCTAACGTGAAAGCAGATGATACTGATACTTATGAGAATGTTTATTGAAATGTATGAATGTGACATTTTGTCAATTTCTTTCAAAGAGTAAACACTCGGAACTCTTTTTTTGACAAATTTCTTACACATGGTAATTCATGAAAATGTCAATTTTAGTATAACTTTTGAATATCCTAACGTGCCATTGTTTTGTGTTAAACATGTTCGCAATGACGGTGGGACACTCATATGTCCGATACCACTTGTGTTGGGTATCATTTTCGTTGTTTCAACGCGAGGATGCACAATTTGGTGGCTAATCACATAAATACTTAATACCCGTAAAAGTTGCGTTCGGTACTAGGGCAAGGCGCCTTGCGGCACGCGGCGTGTCAGCCACATCTCCAAGCGGGGCCGGCCGGCCGGCGCGGCGCGCCACCCGAACCCGACATCAAGATAGATAAGTAAGAGTGGCGCACACGAGGGGGTAACCACTTCAAGAAATCGTCCCAGCTTAAAATTCCACCTGGAAATTGGTCTGGATTTATTTCCATTGTGGAAAGTAGAATCCAGAGGGATCTGAAATCCAGCTGGTATTTGGAACGTTTTCCCATCTGGAATTTTATGAATTCCATTGTGGGTTTCCGATTTCCAGTATGGATTTACACATCTGTGGAAATGGAAATCACTCCAAAATACTGTACTCGTTTATTTGTAAAAAAGAGGCTTACTTTAACAATACTAATCGCAGTGACTTTAGAATGGAGCGTGCCCCCTGTGGTCCCCCAATTTCTCAAAATATGGATTCTTTTCACGTATTCATACTGATTCAAGCAGGAATTAGTTGATTATTTCGAGCAAGCTTATCAAGTAGATAAGCTAAAGCCAGCTCGGCAATGGTACAGACACCAAAGAGGTGCAGGTGCCACTGCCTCAAAAATTGAATGATGTGCCAGATGGTACTGGATTAGTCACATGTCCTCGGGAAATTAGACTTCCTCGACAAAGGGAAAATTTTGGGAGCCTTGGTCACAAGCGAGAGAAAATTAGATTAAAAAAATCTCAGCCTGTAATACTGATACATAATCATCCAAAAGGATTCTAACTTTCATAGATACCGTTCAGAATCCCCTTTTCGGAAGTATGAGGGAATTTTCTTTGAGCGGAGAGCCTTTTATCTATTTCAGGACAAAAAAGCGACACTAGCGCCACCTAGCGGACAAAGCTTAAAAAATCCAGTCGGAAAAAAAAAATCCATCCTGGATTTCTAGTAGAATCCATTGTGGAAATCTCGCTATGGAAATCAGACTTTCCACAGGGAATACAATTTTCCCTTCTGGGTTACTCAAACCCCTTTTGGAAAAAAAATTTTCCCTCTGGAACCCTTTTCCAGACAGCAGCCTGGTATGGAAATGACCCCTTTTCCCGCTGGAAAATATAAATCCCATATGGATATGAGCAATCCAGATGGAAACAAGGAAATCCAGAGGAAATTCCCGGTGGAATTTTAAGCTGGGCGTGTACGATACTCGGTATTACGCTGTATTACAGGGGTAACACGTGTATTACGGGGCCCTTTAAAAAGCCTAAAATATGGCACATTTGACCAGAAAAGGATATTACGATCACGTGTATTACGCGTAATACACGTTTTTGTGTACAGGGTATTTCGCGAATGTTTACCCCCTCGGGCGCACATGCCGACTGCCGACGCGCCCTTCTCGAGAGGGACAGGGGTTTTGGGGGGGAGGGGGGGTGCACTATGCGTTTTACGCACTCAAGGCTCAAGTGCGTGTGTGTGTAGACTGCTGCGGGGTGTGGCGGGGCGCGGCGGGACGTGGCGTCTCGGCAAGGGAATGGGCGAGGGACGCGATGCGTGCTAGCAGCGTCTCGTAACGACGCGCAACGCGAGGGACGCACTTCATGAGTACCAGAGAGCTGGGTGTCGAGGTTATAGGCCCCGCGCGCAACCCGAGCCCCCGCAGGCGCCCCCATTCATGGTGCGGCGGGCGACGGTGCGGCGCGGCAGACTGCGGGCCCCCCGCTCATAATCTTCTAGGCGGCGAGCCCGGGTGCCTTGCAGCGAAGCGCTCGGCCTCTTCTAGGCTTGCTAGTCAGGCAGGCAAGGAGGCAAGTGCTGCCTGGCTACCCGGAAACTCGGTACTCTCTGCACGAGAGTACAAGCACGCTGCTACGTGAACGTATCATCTGCAAAAACAATTTAAAGCACTAAGACTGGCGTCCAACCAATATAACCGCCGTAAGAGCTGGTGTATATGCACATTTAATTTTGTTAGGGCGTCATGGGCACTGACTGGAAAAGGCAATGTTTTCCCCCTCTGCTGAGAGCCGCGACCCACCCTGCCTCGAGGGCCTTGGGGGGCCGGGCCGGGCGCCACGGGGCTGGCGGGCCTGGAAGGCTTGGGGCCTCGGAGCCCCGAGCGGAGTCAGCCCGGTGTAATGGCCTAATGGCACATTCCTCGCAGAATAATTGCCGGCAGGCGATTGGTCTGGAGAGTCTCCAGAGCGGAGTCCGCCGCCGCTGTCCGGCGCGCCGCCCGTCCCCGTCCAGGCCGAGGTGCTGGGCAGTGCAGGCGCGAATCCAGTGGGGGCAAACGGACAATTCAACCACCTCTCTTTTTGGCCCAAAAGGAGGTCTCCTGAAAGGTAGACGAACAGCAACACTTTGCCTGTAAGTAGGCAGAAAATGCTACGAAAATTTTGACGCTCCCTCAGGTCGGCATTCGATCCACCACGAGGAATAAATTGTCATGGGTAAGTACGAGCTTGGATGATTCTCATTGGTGACACTCGACATCCTGACTGATCCCGGCAACGCGTCGTAGCACTGTTCAGCACGGCATGCGCGGCGGCGTCGCGTTCGGTGCGTTCCACGGCCTCTCTCTCTCTCCCTCTCTCTCCCTCTCTCTCTCTCTCTCCCCCCCCCCCCCCCCCCCCCCCCCCCAGGCGGGCCGCAACGGCGGGCCCTTCAAAGGAACAAACACCGCGCCTAACGTCGCGATGGCTGGGGCCTCGACACGACCTGGCCGCCAGAGAGAGAGGCAGGGAGAGGGCGTCGGTGGGAGTGGGGAGGCGGAGAGAGAGAGAGAGAGAGAGAGAGAGAGAAAGAGAGAGAGAGAGAGACAGAGAGAGAGAGAGACAGAGAGAGAGACAGAGAGAGAGAGAGACAGAGAGGGGGCCCGTTCTCTGGGCGCAGTTATGCACGCTCGCAGTGTGCAGTAAGGAGTGCGCGGGTCCCTTCACCAAACGGCTCACACAGTGCGCCAGAGGACCGGTGTGGCCAAAACGCCAGACGCGTTTTGATTTCCAGAGTCGCTAAAAGGACTTAACCGGACGTGTGACCCCACCAATGGATTCCTTGTTCGGAGAGCAATCCATTGGTGGGGTCACACCGGGTCACACGATCGGTTGGAGTCCCATTTAGCGACTCTGGAGCTCAAAACACGTCTAGAGTTTTGGCCGCCTCCACACCGGTCCTCTGGCCCGCTGTGCGGCTGGCGGGTATTGGATGGATATTGATACCCACTTTGCACTAGGTGCCCTGAAGGTGGGCGGCGGCGCGCTAGAACAAGAAGGGACTGCGGGGACTCCGGGGACGACATGAATGACAAAGGCGTGGCGAGGCAGAGACCTCGCAGAGGCTGAGAGGCCGAGGCAGACGCCGAGGCGCTTTTGCTATTCAATGGACTCTATGCGATGGGCGCGCGCAGTCGCTCTGTCTCTCTCGCACTCATGGGGCGTCGCGTAGGGGCGCGAGGGAGACAGAGCGCCGAGCGCACTGTTGGAGCTGCAGAGTGCGAGGGGGACACGAGGGGGCGCGGAGCAAGCACGCAAAGGGGCCGCCGCCCCGCCCCGCCACGCCCCGCCACGCCTCAATATTTTCGCCGTCTTTGTCGTCCTATCAATCGTAATGCGGGGGGCGGCCGGGGCCAAGCAACTGACTCCGAGAGTCGCTTTCGTCGCTCTGTCCCTCTCGCACTGATGGGCGTTCCCTACCAGCACGAGAGAGACAGAGCGACGAAAACGACACTCGGACTCGGCGTGCAGGACGCGCAGGGCGAGGCCGTGTAGGGCAGCAACATGGACCCCCCGAGCGACACGCTTTGTGCGGACGGAAGGGGCGTCGGGGCCCCGCACTGTAAGGTCGGGGCGGCGGGTTGACGTCGCAGCGCGTCGCAGCGCGGCGTTGCAAATCGGGCGGCGCGGCGCGGCGTAGGGTTGCCCGGGTCGTCCGGGGTGTCCAGGTGCCGCCCGGGAAGCTGCCAATAAAATGATGACAGCGAGATGTGCGGGCTGCCCTCGGCCCGGCCGCCACCCGCATAGCGTTTGTTGGACCGGAGACACTCGCTGAAGTCGGTCCGCAGAGGAGCTTATTGCGAGACTCGCAAAGACTGGTGTCCAGGAGAGTGATGGAATGGAATCGAGGGGGAGACCACTAAAGAAATCCTGCGTCCTCTTCAGTGCCTGTGAAACCTCTGGAAATATGACATCTTCCCCAAAAAGGGCAAAACACAAGCAAATTTTGGACGTAAAATAGGACGAGATCTGACGAAATATCTTCCCATGAGAAATCTTCTCTGTCCCCACTTCATCGAAAGTGGGTGCCCCCTCGGATAGAATCCTAGAATCCCTAGAATTGGAGAGTCCTGGGGCCTTCCATCTTCGCAAATGTTTTAGGCTTGATTATACTTACGAGGTGAGACAGTGTGCAGCATTATTCTGGTGCGAAAATCGTCTGCAATACAGAGAAAAATACGTCAATTTGTTCGTTACCTACTTCGTTTCGTAAGTCATGGCGGAGTGCCACCGCAAAAGCCAAATTACGAACGCCGAGCCTTGCAGTTCAAGCCCCGCATGCAAATAAACTACCCCACTTTACTACTTTACATCGCATGACTTGCTCGCGAGTCATCATGGATTTGAAACGGAGCCCGATCCCTCACTGCCCTCGCTCCAACAACAACAACAACAACAACAACAACAAACGCTCCGCACCGCAGCCATCCGTCTACTGGATCAACAAGTTGTTGACTCGAGGCGGTGCTAAAGACACCAAACCTCTCTCTGCGTAGCGCCTCGGGGGCCAGACCAGGCCAGGCCAGGGCAGGCAGGGCAGGGCAGGGCAGGGCAGGGCAAGCCAGGCCAGGGCCAGGGGCTCCCGGTTCGCCGGCCCGGACGCGTTACGCGCACGCCACGCCTATTGGCACGCCTGGTTCACGCTCGCCGGCGTGGCGGCAGCGTGTCCGCGGCGTGGCGGCGTGGCGTGGCGGCGGGGCGTGGCATCTCGGTTTGTTTGCGGCGGTGCATCGATTCGCCAAGCGGCTCGCCCCGCAACGCCCAAACTAAAACGAAGCGCTTCAATCAGAGACTTTCACGCCTCGAGTCGCGTTCTTCGCTCTTCTGTTCTGTCTCGCTCGCACCTGTGCGGCACGCGGCGGCACGCCCCTCGAGTGCGAGAGAGACAGAGCGACGCAAGCGACTCTCGGAATCAATCTACTGTATTGCGCCTGCCCGTCGTCGAGGAGGTAGGTGTGTGTGTGTGTGTGTGTGTGTGTGTGTGTGTGTGTGTGTTGTGTGTGTGTGTGTGTGTGTTTGCGTTACCGCCTCGATTACCGTCCTCATCGATTTGACGATGACTCGCCGCCGCGGAGCCAAGGACGCGGGGCGAAAGGGTTTTCTCGGTGGCCGAGATCGCTGAGGCCTTGACTTGCATGTCGGAGACCCGCGTTCAAATCTCTCACATAAGATCTATTTTCGTATAAAATTTTCTTTTTCCATAATGCGAACTGTATCC